CACAGGCATACGTCAGCACAAGTCTGGACATGGAAGTCGGAGCTGCAGATTCCAAACTGTCACTGGATGGATGAGTTCGGCAAAACTTGACATCGCCGTCCCTCCGCAAACAGGTCCCCAGGGGATAGAGAGCTGCAGTGAGGACTGTAAAATGTCCTGGTTGGCAAAAACCAACACCCAGTGCCAGAGCCCGCCAGGGACGTAAAGGCAAAGTCTTAATAATGGCCTGCTCTCCACTGGATCCTACCTGGTATCATGGTTGCCGCTGCTTGCCGACCATAGTTACCAGGACCGAGAATCACTAGAAGCTGGCTGGCAGCGACGAAGTCTTTCGCATCGACGTTTGGGTGAGCCTTGCGACCTTCCTGTCTCGGTTGCACATGGCCAGAGTGCCACCTGTGCCATTCAAACGTTCTTGCCTCAGACTCTATGATTTAACGCCGTTTTGCGAGTCATGATCAAAATGCAATCTCGGTTCAGTCCCCCTCTCGTTGGCTCTCCATGCCTCATGCCCATGTATCGCTGTTCCAGTCCCTCTGGCTTGGAGCATCCTTCGCACAAAGTCGCTCTGGCAAGACTGCGGCGAACCATTATAGCATGTCGTGCGGTGGTCGATATACATGCTGGCTTGGCTTAGCTGCCGATGGTCACGCAGATCTGCAGATCCCCTCACGGAGAGCGGTGTGAGGTGTCCGCCGACTGATTCCGCTCTGTTCCAAGCTCGGGAGCGGTGCCGGGCTTGACTTGGGCTTGCCTGGGCTTGACTTGGGCTTGCCTGGGTGTGACTTGGAATTTGTTCCACAAATCGTCAAGCCCAAGAATCTGTGTAACTTTCATCGCCCATGTCCATGGGCGCCAAGAAAATGCATCGCACAGGTGATTGCGAGTCCACCTGTGCCCACGCACAAGCGAGGGAAACGAGTGCCGGACAGTACAGAACAGAATGTGAGTGGCACCGTGATGGAGCTGGAGCGCTGCCATCGATCTGGGCTTGTGCCGAGCCACAGTGGGCCATAGCTGAGCAACGTACCCAGTTCAACCTGCTCTGTCGACCTGGTCTGTTGAACAGGCGGCTTCAAATGTCCTCGTGATATGATTGCATCCAGGTCAATTGCAAATATCGATCAACGCGGAGGCTTGCCGTCTCCTCCCTCCATGTGCCCTCTTGGCGGTCCCGATGTGCAACTCCCTCGACAACCACTCCGTCCATAAAACGCCGATCGCCTGTCGCCTGTCCCTGGCGATCCACATCCCATCTCCAACATCCCGCCTCTGGTTGTCCAGCATCCCTATTCGCTATGAAGCCTAGTCTCAACATCCTTCTCTTTCTCTATGCAGCTGCGATAGCCTCTCTGGCGGTTGCGGCCCCAAACCCCTCGCCGTACGAGTGGATTCCCTTCCCAGTCGCAAACTTCACCCGCCACACCACGCTCATCACTGAGGGCGGAACTCCCCTCGAGATGTTCTGGACCGTCAATGTCCCGGGCAACTCGACGACCATTGGAGTTGCCATCAACAAGACCGTGCCATGGCTGGGTCTTGGCTTCTCCGATACCGGGAGCATGGTTGGCGCTGACATTGCCCTCGCCATGGCCTCGAGCCCAGGGGTACGTATCACTGCTAAACACTCTGGATCGATACGGTTTGTATTGATCCACTCTGCATTGATCCACTCTGTATCAACGTGCACCCACCGCCTGGCGGATCACTGCTTGATGCTGGACCATGGGTTGTGTTCGACCTCGCTTCTTCATCCGTCCACTCTCTGCCCTCGTTATTCCGATCCCTTGCTCTTTCCTGGCACTTTCCCCTCTTGTTGACTCATCCGCATCTTGCTCCCAGTCGCCGCTGACCCTGCAGCGCATGTTCGCAGCAGCTCCGGGCCAGCCCTCTCCTTCTCAGGTCCAGGATCTCACGCTCATTTACAGCAACTCAAGTGCCACTCAGACCTCGTTTGTCTTCACCCGGTTCAACGGCGCTGGCTGCAACCCCCAGGTTCGCGCCATCAAAACGGACAACCAGACCGACCAAGTCGTCATCTATGCCTTCGGCTCGGGCTCGGGCTTCTCCCAACATGCCTCGGGTGATATGGGCTACCAGACCATCCTCCTGAGTGCCGCCAGCGATGCCGCCAACAATGCCATCGTCAATGGCGGTGTCATTCCGGCCGACTCCACTATCTTCTCGATGTTTATGAATCAAGTCCCCGTTCCAGCCAGCGTAACGTCGTACTGCTATCAAACCTTTGACTTGCCTACCGATGCCAAGTACCACATCATCAAGGAGGAAGGGCTCCACAACTCGTCGGTATCTCGGCCTGCATTTTCGCTGGTTGGCTAGTTGGTCGATTCGATTTGATTCCTGCCATGCTCCCTCTGCTCGGCTTACTGATTGCTCGATCCCCTCGTCGCTAGGTCGTTTGTTCATCACATGGTCGGCTACGCCTGCGATCCCACAAAGTCCTCCACGAACAAGATTGCCACTCCCTTCTGCACCATCCCCGGGTCGGACGACTGGGCTATTGCCACTCAGGGCTGCAGTCGGTGAGTCATGGACGAGCCAGAATTGATATGATTTGTGCAAAGGCACATATGCGCAGCGGCTTGGTGGATACAGCATACCCCAGATACTTCATCAAGAATAGCGCTGCTCTACACGAGCTTTGCCTGACCCTCAACGCCATTCCGCTCGAGGTCGATCCATGTTGACCAGACATTCCACGGTCCGAGCATCCTCATGACTGAAATTCGATCGATTATATCAAACATAGCTTCATGTTCGAATGGGCTCCGAACAAGGCTCCTCGTATCTACCCTGACGGTCCCAATGGATACGGCAAGCCCGTCGGCAAGGGATATGTCCAGACCATTCTGCTCGGTAATCTATCTATTGCGAGGGACATTCACGACTGTTCCTACACTGGCCACCAAGATGCTTTCGTGTTCTCCTTGCTGGCAAGAACTACACCAACATTCTTCACAGAGCCGCGTGGCTTCTGTGCCAACGGATGCGTTGCGAGCCACGCTATGGTGCATGTCTCTCACTGATACGAATCCACATGGCTGTGATTACTCACCGATGCCCTCCAGAAATGCACGTGAATAATCCTCAAGCCCTCGACGGCCAGGTTGTGCCTTTGGCAGGCTTCAACTTGACTCTCACCAAGATCTTGCGAGCCAACGATCTCGGCGTCATCACCCTGGGCCTTCAGCCCGACCCCCAGATCATATCCATCCCTCCGAAACGCAGTGCCTATGCACTCACATCGACATGCTCTTCTTCATGCACCAACCAGCTTCCCAGCAGCGGCATCAACATCGTCGGCAACTTCTTCCACATGCACGGCGCGTAAGTCGAAGCAGGCCAAGTAGTGCCCGTGTGTTTAGCGGCTGGTGATTGAGCCCTCACGACACTAACGTCAGGATTCAGCTGGGCCGTGCAAGACTGCATTACAGCCTATGAAGCGCATCTTTGACCACGATGTCTCCTTCTACATACAGTGGGCAGTCGATCTCAACGAGAGTGATCCGAAACGGCAAAGAGCTTCAAGAACTTGGTCGTAAGGACTACTTTGACTTCAACTTCCAAGTAAGTTGGTCGGCAGTCAAAGTGTGACAGCGATCATACTCTTGGTTCGGGCAATCAATGCCGAGCTTACTCAAGCAAAGTGCCAGCATCTCCGGGTGGACAGACAGAGTACTTGGCACTAAAGACAGGCCCTGGCGTTTGCCCACTCGCCTGCTCACCCAACACAATTTGGCGGCACAGAACTTTCAAGACATTGCCCCTCGCCAGATTCTGCCGGGCGATACCCTCATCACCACTTGTGTCTACAATAGCCAGAACACGAATGGGTATATCAGTGGTGGATTTGGTACCAATAATGAGATGTGTAAGTGGCGCTGTGGCTAGGCACCGAGTGTTATTATGTGCCAAAGTGACCAACTGGATAGGGCGTCTATGTTTGGGTGCAGTGTGCTTGCTGACGATCTGCACTTGCGCATCCAGGCTACAACTTTGCAGAATACTACCCTCTTCAACCAATTGGTGAATGCAGTAGTGTCTGTGGCGTCTTTGACAACAATGCCACATTGATAACATCCGATTTCATTCGGAACTATGCCACAACCCCGTCGTTCACTCCTGTCGCCAGCACCTGTGCGATTGCCCCCGATGCGTCATCTGCCCCAGGCAAAAGCGCCGCACAATCATTGTCTATGGCTCTCGCCATGGCTCTTTGTGCTGTATCATTGCTCCTTTGAGTAATCTAGGAAGCATCGGAAAGTGTTGAAAACTTGAGCTCGGGTGCTCTGTACTATCTGTGAATGGTGTCCTTTGCTGGAACCCAATACACTTGTTCATTCAGCAAGTGCGAGACCACTGCCATCCATCGATACGCATGCTTGTATTCTAACAGATCCTTTGACATCGAAAATATCAGCGCCGATACAGCCAAGCACATATTTCCGGAATCGACGTCGATTTCTGCTCGTGGAGATCGTTCAACGAGTTTCAAGATCAGGCTGCGCAAGACAAGCTTTCTGTCGACGACTGGCGGTAATAATGGCCGTGGTGGTGGGTCTACGCAGACCTTTGATGAAATGAGCTGAGTTGGCAGCAAGGGAGATCCGTGATGCCTCTAGATACGCTCGTCGCGATAGTAAGACTCGGCGGTTGTCGAGCATGTAGCATTGCGGCGTCAAGTTTGCATGTTTGTATACGACATAGCCTGAACAACAGAGGCCGTTGAGGCAGAGAAGCCAGCGAAGCATTTACAAATCCCCAACCGCGGCGTCGGTTTGATCAGTCTTGGTAAAGAGCAGACCAAGAATGCCGATGATGAAAATACCAGTGTCGATTCCCGAGGGACGGAACAGTGGTGATGACTTGGATGCCAGTCCGGGGATCGACCGACATGGGAAGGATTGAGATATTGATCAAGAACCAGTGGCGTGCATGGCAACCCTGTTGACGAACGATGGGAGGATGAGTAACAAGGCCGGCAGGGAAGTCCCGGGTCAGTTCATAGCAGAGAGTACTTCACCGAGGAAGTGGTCTGGATAACGGCCCCCCGGATGGTGCGGCTGGGTGATGAGTACGATGGCCACTACCTTTCCAGTCACCTAGCCAAGGAGAGGCAAGAGTGGGAGGACTGAGGATCGCACCCATGAACTGGTCAGCAGTCACAGGACCTTCAAGTGGAGGCCAATCGTGCTGGTCAGCGGTCTATGAGCGAGTCCGATCAGCGAGTTATCCGCCAGCAAACATTCCACCGTCTGGAAACACGGTTCTGCTTGGTTGGATGCCGTCACAGTGGCCTCGGAGTCGACCGGATCCCACCACGGCTGAGGAATTGCATGCAAGTCTTGCTGAGTATGAAATTGCACAGACAAAAGTCTGCCTTGGTCGCTGGTTTGAAGTCAGAGAAGGTGTCGGGCGACATCCAAGCATCAGCTTGGACAAGTCGCTGTGATATGGATCCACACTTCCGAGCCGACTCTCACTTTTGCATGCACTGTTCTCGCATTCCTGGAGTCCTTTGCTTCTCGCGAGTCAGTCATTGCTTCACAGTTCAGTTCATTTTTGCTCGCGCCCCATTCTTGATTGCGATTGCTCGAAACGCCGTCGTTTTGTCGGTAGAATCCAATACATCTCTTTCAAGTGTGAGTGCGGTCCCGGCTGCTGTTGAGTGGGAAACACAGACTGTGTTCGCTGCGCATTCAGGACAGCGAAAGCGGAAACGGCTGAGCGATGGGATTGTTGATGCATTGGTGGCGGGCAAGTATTCAGAGCCCAGACGATCCTGCTGCCGGGGAAGGGTACCGCATGTTCTGTTTCGCATCGTACTGAATTGAAAATGACAACGCCTGCACATCGAGTCAAATCCAAAGCCCAGTCGATGAGGACTGTGTTCGCAGTGCGGTGTGTGATCCATTACCAGTGGCCCCAAGAGAGGAGTGCGTCAAATCTGCGGAAACCCGGCGAGGGATCTTTGTAAGGCTATAGTGCTTCCAGCACTATCCACCAGGAGAGTACTTCAGAGTCCTATTGCCTGCTCCTCGCTGAGGGTCTCGAGGGCCAGTCCATATTCGATCATGGGTCGGATGAGTCTCTTGAAGATGCTCGCCACCGTCTTCGACAAGCACTGATCCCGGCGCATTCCATGCTTTACCAGCTTGTCGAGGATGCCATTGGACTTGTGGGCGAGATGCTGGATCTGATGTCCAGTCGGTAAAGTGGATATCGACGATGGCTGGTGGAATTGGATAACTACGCTCTCTGAACTCCTGAATAGTGGAGATCGACGGAAACAACCACAATGGACGTCTCGGTACTGGAGAGGCGGGTCGACTTGCTGCCTGCATTCAACAGTCCCAAGTGGCGATGTTGGACGGGATGACACTGAGTATCTCCACATCAATGGTTGCAGAGCCAGGATCGATGCCGAGTGTGGAGTGTAGAGTGTAGAGTGTAGAGTGAAGTTTGTCGAGTCATTCGATGTTTCTCTCGGTGGATCAACATCAGCGATTCATATGGGACAGCACTATTCGTATATTGTACGAACTGAATGTATTGAACGTCAAATACAACATCATTACTTTGTGTGTTGGTGAGGTGATTTCCTCGATTTATTGGATGTGATCTCCTAAGCTTCAAATGGATGATGAATCAAAGCGCCATCGGCCAAACTTGATCAAGGCCATCCCCCCAGAGACTTGAGTTTGTCGATGGCCCAATCGAAACCCTGATCAGCGGACTTGCGGTACCAGAAGAGAGCGGTGTCAACGTCCCAGGGAACACCCCTGCCATCATGGTAACAATCACCGAGCCAGAATTGGCCATATCGATTGCCCTGCTCGGCTGACTTGCGGAGCCACTCGGCTGCCTTGGCGAAGTCCTCGGCGACTCCGTGTCCATCGTAGTAGCATTCACCAACCATCCACCGCCCGTACGAGTTATCTTGGTTGGCCGACTTGCTGTACAAGTCGAATGCCTTCTCGTTGTTCTCCGATATTCCTTGACCATAATAGTAACACTCTCTGATCCTAAACTGGCTGTCGCTGTGACCATCGTTGGCGAGTTGTTCAAAGATGCCCACTGCCTTCTCCTGGTCCTCGGTGGTTCCGAATCCATGGAACACACACACAGCCATCAAGTGTCTGCACAGCCAGTCACGGTCCGATCCCAGCTGGCATAACTCGAAGAACTTGCGTGAGGCGGATGAGTCGGACGAAGACATGACCCCAGCTACCAGACATTCGCCTTCTCCGAGTTTGAACTCATCCGATTTGTTCTCTCGGATGATCTTGACACCCTTCTGTTTGTCCTGCTGGACACCTCGGCCGAGGTAGTGCATCCACCCGACCATGTGCGTGGCAATGGGCTTGATGACTGGGTCGGTGGATTGGGTGCTGACTTCCTGCCAGTGGTTGAAGGCATCGGCATCGCTCTGTTCGACACCACGGCCGATGAAAGAGAACCATCCACGGAGGAACACGATGTAGAGTCGGCCGTCTTCGCTGCCTTGATCTGCGGCCTTGAAATACCACTCGATGGCTGTGTTGAAGTCTTGATCGATACCTTCGCCATCTGCATAGTATCGACCAAGTGCGATTTGGGCCTGAGGGATTCCACGATCTGCAAGCCTGCGATACAGCTCGACAGCCTTGGTGTGGTCTTGGTTGGTACCGATGCCATCGTCATAACATCCTGCCAGGTGGAACAGTGCCATTGAATGATCAGCTTGCGCTGCCTTCTCAAGATAGCGAAAGATATGATTACGGGGGGTTAGCCGGTCAGATTCATCCGCAGACTGCTGCTTGTCGAGATCGAGTTGGAGGATTCTTGCCAGGAAGTATGATGCGGCAACATTGCCGTTATCGACTAGATATTTAAGCCAGGATCGGCCAGTTTTGACTGGATCCTCGCAGTATATGGAGAGGGCAATCGTGTCGCTCGGCGTGAGGCCGATCCGCAACTGTCCGTCTGGATTGCTCAGCCCTGCATTCTGGCACCAGCTGTGGAAGCGAGGCACCTTGGAGCTCAGGATAGGACGGGCACGCATGCATACTCGAAGCAGGGTCTTGATGGTGCTGTGATCGAGGGAGAGCTGGAAGCTGTCGTTGCAGCAGATGATGGTGAAGATGTCTGGGTTGGGTTCGAGTGAGAGCTGAGCGATATCGGGTATCGGCGAGCTTGCTCTGGCTTCATCTTGAGCTTGGTGGGTGGCAGATGATGCCGTGGTTGTAGCAGGCTCGTTGATGCTGGCTATGTTGACGGAGACTGGATGGAGGCAACTGGGAGATGGAGATGGACAGGAGACAGAGGGAAGTTGTGGCGAAGCAAGCCAGACCCTGGCAAGCCATACACTGGCCATTGAGCACACACACACAAGCCTGGCTCGATCCGTCCGGTTTGCTGGCTGGAGTCGTTGTTCCTCTTGCACTGCCACATGCACTGCCGCATCCATCGAACATGGAATCGATCATGGAATCGAACATCATGTCGAGTCCTGCATTCTCGCCAAGGCAAGATGTAACATCCATTCCATCCAATTCCACATCGACTCCAACACTATGCCTCCAACCTGCTTCACCAAGTACCACCAGTTCGGGTCCAAGGGGTGTTTGCGAGGCTTCACCATGCCCTCGCCAAGAACGTCCTCCGTGCTCGCATTCTTCAGCAGTATGTTACGAGCCCATTGACCTCTCGATCTATCGTCAACCCACACTCCCTACAGTGGTACACCTTGGCCGCCCCCAAGTCCCGCTTGATGTGCCCGCACCGAGTGCATGTCTTGCTCGTGTACTCCTCTCCAACAATACACACCCTGCAGTCAGCATACTCCCTGGACTTGTGAATGAGGGTGTCGACAAAGCGACAGTGGGCCAACATGGCCATCTTCTCGTTGACAAGGCATCGAATGCGCTCGAGGATGCGAAGGGCTCCTCGACGCATCCTGTTCTTGGTGTCCCTGCCACCATTGGTCGAGTGAGGGTTGGAGGCACCCCAGGCGGTGACGAAGCCGGAAGGGTCGTATGTGGTGATGAAGTCTCGGACGCCAGGAACAGTAGAGACGACTTTCTTGGCCGTGTCCTGGGCTTGGCTTTCGCCCGGACGGACAAGTGGCTCCGAGACCACGATGTACATTCTATTTTTTAAAAAAATGGACACCGCACTCGCTTCCATGAACATTTAGCCTGTGTCTAACACACTCATTCGTAATTCAATAGGTCGCCTCCGAGCGAAGTCCACCGGTCGCCCTCCGGTCTCCACAATCGATCTGCACTGCTCAAAGCACCGAGCAAACCGCTGCCTCCTGGGCTGGATGCGTAGCCCTTGCCTTGATATCATGATGCATTGCCAAAAGCAAACCTCGGTCTCATCGGTCACGCTGCTTGGTCATGATTGCTATGAGTGGGTGGGTGTCCAGGTTCCAAATAGTAACAATTGTGGCGAAAGTTGCTCACCGAGGCACGTGGCCCCATAGAGCGTTCCCAAAACGAAATGGGACACCTGCTTTTGAGCCAGGACGGCCGCTCATCGCTCCGCCTCTTCCGCTGCCATCAAACCTCCTTCCCTTTTGATCCCCATTTCCGCCACCATGGCTCTTCCGATCCCCTCCTCAACCGATGCTGCACAGCCACTGCTCAGTCATCATCCAGACATCTTTACCATCGTCTGCTTCAACTCGAGCTTCCAACTCACACTCAGTCTCGCCACAATCAAGGGTCTGCTTCTCGTTTGCAGACGAGCCGAGCCGCTCCTGAGCTCCAAGGTGGCTCGTTTTCGACACTGGTGTCGGGCGGCACATCTCTGTCATCCAGAGAAAATGCCGCTTCTTCGCCTCACGCCCTGCGAGACGATCTCTCTCTCGTTTCACTTCAACGAGGCGGCTGCAGCCGATCTGTCCTGGCTCGCAGATCGGGCTGCCCAGGGAAGCGTTGCTGCCTTATACTTCCTGGCGAGAATTCTGCTGTCTGAAACTGAACAAGAAGAGGAAACAAGGCGTGAATTGAAAGCCATATTTGTTGAATCCTCTGTGTCGTATCCCGAGCAAATCTTCCTCCTATTCAGAAGGGCTGCAGAGGTCGGCCATCCAGGAGCAAGTTTCCATTTGGCCGAGTGCTACCAAAGCGGCTTTGGTGTCGATCAAAATCATTCCAAGGCCTTCGAGTTGTACCGCCATCTTGCGGACCAAGGGTTGACACAAGCCCCTCAGGCCAAACTTGGCCGATGCTACGAGAGCGGGGAAGGTGTTGAGCAGGCCCTGGATACTGCTGTCGAGTGGTATATCCAAGCCTCCGATCAAGGGGATGTCGATACCCTGCTCCGAATCGCATTCCTCCGTGGCTGGCTTGCATTCCTCGGTCATGGTGTCGAGCAGAGCGACGATAATGCATTCCACCATTGGCAGGAGGTCAGCACCAAGTCTACCGACTCGGATACCAAGCCCATCGCTAACTATATGCTTGGATGGATGCACTGCCTCGGTCGAGGCACTGTACAAGACAGGCCGGAGGGCACCAGAATACAACGCAACAACAGGTCTGACAAGTTCCCTCTAAGCGAAGAGGATGCTCTGGCAGGATACGATTGTTTCTCCAACTCATCCATATCTCGCAAGTTCTTCAAGCTATGTCAGTATGGATCGAACCGAGACTGGCTCTGCAAGCATCTCATGGGCGTGTGTCTGCTCCATGGATTTGGAGTCTCGAAAGACTGGACGAAGGCAGCGGATATCTTTGATCAGCTCGCCAACGAAGGCCACAGCGATAGCCAGTATTGGATTGGCCAATGTTACTTCCAAGGCTGCGGAGTTACAAGGGACTTGCTGGCGGCCTTTCAATGGTGGAGCAGGTCGGCAGATCGGGGCAACTCGAATGGCCTATGGATGGTGGGGGGATGCTACTTTCGTGGATGGGGCGTAACCAAAGACTATACCAAAGCAGTCGAGTGGTTCCGGAGGTCGGCCGAGCAAGGCAATTGGAGAGGGCAATTCTGGCTAGGATGGTGCCACAGGCATGGCATTGGTGCGCCAAAGAACATAACCGCTACCGCCTATTGGATTCAAAAAGCGGCCGACCAAGGGTTTGAACTGGCGATCACTGGTCTGAAGCACCTGAAAGTAACTCCGCATAAAGGCCCTCCAATACGCTAGATTGTAATCGCGTTCCTGTATTACGAATCGGAATGATGAATCAAGATGGTCGCCAACCGCCTTCGAGTGACTCGAGTGTCATTCCTTGAGAGCGTGATGGGATGTTGGGGCCGATGATAACACGCTTGATGATGAACGGATGATTCGAGGTATACTTCACAAGGCTTTCTGCACGCTCCGTCAGGTTTGGGAGGGAAGCCTCCGACCCTCCAGAGGAACATTCTTCGGGCTTGAGCAACTGATATCACTGGCATCCGTGCGGTCAGGATAGGGTCTCCATCCCATTTGTAGGTGCCTGCGATCGACATCACCTTGCTTGGGTTTCTTTCCTTTTCGTAGAAGCGCATGATCATTGCCTTCTTGATGGGAACGCCTGTCCCTGTCCCCTTCTCGAATAGGGCCGGTCTTGAATGCTCTGGGGAGGTTCTGTGCTGCTGTTCCAGCTCTTTCCAGGTGGCGTTTCCGGTCAGCTTGGCCAGGATCCTTTTGTTTGCATCCCTTGCTGGGAGCTCCGCAATGTGTCTGAGCACCTGCGACGTGAGGAAGCCTGGGTCGCCCCTGCGATCGTACCAGCGGCCGAAGCATTTGATCGTCAGTACTTGTTTCCGAGTTGACATGGAGTATATCCCCGTGACCGCCTGTATCGCCGGCCCGGATATGTTGTGGCGGATGTTGAGGGCGGATCGAAGTGTCTCCATCATGCATCGTTGCAGATCGTTCATCGTGGGTCCGCTCAGATTGATGATTTTTTTTTTTTTTGTTACTATAGTCAACTTTATTTAAGAAGACAAGCCATCAGGTCCAACAGGTTGGTACCCCGGCACGTTGAGTACACAGGCAAGCCTATTTACTCCTGTTGCAGCCTAGTGCTGCCTCAGCTGCCCACAAGGTCTGAGACCAAGCGGGTGAACACATTTTCAAGCAGTTCCCACAAGGGAATAGCAGGATCGACGGGAGGTCGGGGTGGTGGAGTGACAAGTGCTGGCACTATACTACGCTGTGATGAGGGTGCAGGGAGAGACTGCAAGGGTGGGACTACACTGGTTGTGGGAGTGGGTGCTGGTACTGGGTGTGCACCAAGTGCGAATGCTCGGAAGGCAGTGCGGGGAGCGGGTACATGAGCAGCAAGCGATCCAAGTGCGGGAGGGGTGCGAGTGCGAGGGGGAGTGCGATCGAAAGAGAGCAGGTCCAGCAGCTTGTCCACTGGTCCCACTCCGGCTATACCACTTTCCACCCAAGTCGGGTGGGCCGTCTTGAGGGCTGCGACCTTGCGGACCAGGACTTGATGCGGATCCACACATTGCTGTGCGTGGGTCCTGGTCAAGTCGATCCCGGATCCGTGTCGAGCCAGGTTCTTGCACTTGCGGTATCCGAACCTGAAGTGGCCTGGGAGAGCACCGAGTCGCCATCGGACCATGAACATGAGCATGACCATGGATCCTTGGTACCCGCGAGCCTCCCAGAGTCCCGACATCTTGGTCGACGGGGTGCAGGCGGCGGTGAGCTGCTTGGAGCGGTCGAAGCCGTTCTTCATGTGGTCCTCGAAGATGAGGGTCTTGATCGGGACGGGCTGGGGTCGGGGCGGTCCGGGCGGCGGCGGCTGGTGTCGGGTCTTGCCTCGGTAGATCTCCGTGGCCGTGAGGGAGTGGTCGGCCTCTTGTCGGCGGACCACCATGGCCCAGTGCGGATCGGCTCGGACTCCTTGGCCGAGGAACTGGTCGGGGTGGTAGGGCGCAATGATCTTGTTGCGCAGGATCATCGACAGCATCTTGTCGCCGTCAGAGACTTGGTCGTCCCAGCGGGCCCAGTTCTGCAGGGCCAGCATCTTGACACGGACGGACATCTTGGGGAGGCCGCAGTTGAGGTGCATGGCACCGACGGGAGTGCCGGGGCCGACGCGGAACATGGTGCGGAGGGCCGTCATCTGGGCGTCGTCGAGGCGGTCGCGCAGAGCCGGGTCCGGGATGTCCATGGCCATCCCGTATTCGAGGGTCGGCCGCACAAAGGTCTTGTAGACCTGGGTGATGGTCTTGGCCGAGACCTTGCCGAGGGTGATGCCAAGTCCAACCACGGTGTCGGTGACCATGTGGACCTTGCGGAGGAGCTTGTCGAACTGGAGGTCCGGGCGGAATCCGTCAATGTCGACCATGACACCGAGGTAGCGGAACTGGAGGACCTTGGGCAGCTCGGTGCCGTACAGCTTGGCGGGATGGAGCTGGTCGACGTTGCAGGCCGAGTACAGCACCTCGCACTTGGGAGGCGAGAAGCGGTAGCGATTGTCGACACTGTGACGCTCACAGATGTCCAGCATGGCCTGGGTGCGGCCAGCCGGACAGATGAGGACACCATCGTCGGCAAACCAGAGCGAGTTGACCCGGAGACGGTGGTGGCGACTGGAGGCAAGCACAAGTCCGTCCTCGGCTCGGAGCAGTCCAGGCAGGTCGTCAATGTGGGCACTGAACAGAAGGGGACTCAGGACCGAGCCTTGGATGAGACCCTTCTGCAGCCACACAGGCTGTGACGTGCGGCCCTTGCTGGCGACGCGGACAAGAGTGCGGTCGAACATGGCCCTGAGGACCCCGACGGCGACCGGACCAGCACCTCGGGCGGCGATCTTGTCCCAGAGGCGCTCCCGCCAGACAGTGTCGTAGGCGGCCTTGATGTCGAGGAAGACCAGGCTGTACTCGTCGTCGCAGATCTTGTTCATGCGGACAAGAGCGTCGAGCGAGTACACCTGGTCGAGGGTGCCTCGGTCCGGGCGGAAGCCTCCCTGGGCAATGTCCATGATGCCGATCTCGCGGGTGAGGAACGGCAGCAGGACTCGCTCGGCGATCTTGCGGAGGACCTGGGTCAACCCGATGGGCCGGTACATGGCCGGATCGAGGATCGAACCCTTGTTCTTGTAGACCGGGTGGATCAGGACAGTGTTCCACTCGGTCGGGACGACGGAGGCCTTGAGGGCGGCCAGCAGGATGGCCCGGAGCCAGGGAGCGACCACGGGAGCGACAGGGTGCAGCATCTCGGCCTTGATCTTGTCCGGGCCGGAGGACTTGCGCTTGGGGGACTTGACGATGGCATCGGCCACCTCGTCCGACGACAAGCGGGGAATGGATCGATCCTCGGGGAGCAGGCGCGGAACAGTGTCCAGGGGTCTTGGGCCGACGGTCCGGTCAAAGGCGGCACCGGGGGTGTCCTGGGAGTGCGAGGAGACCTTGCCGTAGTGGACCACAAGTCGCTCGAGGGCCTCGTCCGAGTTGTCAAAGTGGAAGGCGTCGTCGAGCTCCTTGCGCTTCTTCATGGCGGCCAGGGACTTGGCGACCTCGGAAGCGTTGAGTGAGTGCAGCTTGTTCATGGCCAGGGTCTCGGCTGCTCGGCGGGACTGGACGATGAGGTTCTTTTCTTGTTTGCGGACAGCGCGGAGTTCGGCGCGCTTGTCCTCGGCGACGCGGAGGGAGAGCCCGGGCAACTTGAGCTGGTAGATGAGATCGCGGCGCCTCTCGCGAAGCTGCCGCATCTCGGGGATCAGGGCCGGGTCCTTCCAGACGGTCTTGATGGAAGCCTTGCCGATGGTGGAGTCGGCAGCGGTGGTGATCAGGGCGATCATGATGGACCAGGCGCGGTCGATGCAGTCCTGGGCCGCACTCTCCGAGATCGGAATGACCGATCCCCTTGAGATTGGCCGGAGTGCAGCCTGTATGCGCTGCAGACCGCGTTCGCGCTCGTCCAGCAGCGCCAAGAGGTACTGGGCGCGGACGGCGGGATCCTCGAGCTGGGCGATCTTCCACTGCCATTGGTCGACCTTTGGGTAGTACTTTGGCTGTACCCGCAGAGTCGCCCAGATGGGGAAGTGGTCGGACTGGCCACGGAAGGCACCGGCAGTGTCGACCTGCAGCAGCGGGTCGTTGTTGGCCTGGCGATGCGACACAAAGATGTAGTCGATCGTTGTCCAGCTGGGACCCCGCTGCCGGGTGTGGGTCGGGATCACAGCTGGAGGCACAACGCGGAGACCGGCGCGGGAGACAGTGTCCTCGAGGATCTTCTCCCTGCCACGGAGCGGCGTGGGCAGTCCGCTCAGGGCACTGAGGTGGGCATTGAAGTCACCCACCACAATGACCTGGGCGTCGGGGAGGGCGGCCTTGGTGTGGATCGACTGGAGGGCCTCGCGGTAGTCGTCCAGCTTGAGGCTCGGGGACAGGTAGAAGTTGCCGATGTGGATGACGTGTTTGTATGTCACCCACATGGCGTCGCCCTTGTCGCTGACTTCAATGTTGGTGAAGTCGTGCGGGTCGATCCTGGCCGGGTTGTAGAGGATGGCGATGCCTCTACCGGCGCGGCAACGGGGACCAGGGACCTTGACGGCATAGCCACAGAGAGGGCTGCGGGGTTCGAGGTCGGCGAGGGTTTCTTGGACACCGACAAAGTCGATGTCGTTGGTGTCGATGAGGTTCTTGAGTTCAACGTCGTTGACGTTGATGCCACAGACATTGAAGGAAGCGACGGTCAGGGATGTCTGGGCCCTGCCGCCTCCCTGCGAGGGGTGTGGATTCATTGGAGTCGTGCAGCGCTGCTGCTGGCCCGGGGGCCCTCTCCTTCAGAGTCAGTGTCCATGACGGACAGCGGGACTCTGTAGGCGGGGTGAGGCTTGCTGGGCTTTGACGAGGCACCAGCGGCGGGGGCAGCAGCAGCAGCGACAGCAACGACAACGGCAGGGGCAGCGGTAGCGGCAGCGGCAGAGGCAGACGACGAGGCAGCGGCAGCGGCAGAACCAGGGACCTTGGGGACGGCGGTGATGTCCGCCCGCTTGACCTCCTTGCCGGATAGGGCCTTCTTGAGGAGCGAGTCGTACTCGTCGCGGTACTCCTCGGGGATGCGCATCTGGATGCAGCGGCGGACAGGGGCGGTCTTGGCCTTGGCTGCCTGGCGGAGGGACTTTGCCATAAAGTTCTTGATGGCATCGGATCGGGACAGGGCCAGTCCATGGTGCTTGAGACCATGGATGACGTCGTAGGCCGGTACGACCCTGACCCTGCCATGTGTGGACGACAGCGACTCCAGACGGGCACCAAGGTCGGCCTTGTTGGATTTGTCGCGGACAAGGACCTCCATGACCGTGGCCTCAGGGAAGTTGATCTCGGCCAACTCCCTGGTGTCGATGCCGCATCGCTTGAGGTTGCGGCGGACACTGCCGAGGTCGCCACAGCGGATGCCCTCGACGTACAGCCAGTCCATGTTGGTGACGGCCTCCCTGAACTTGTCGTTCCGGAGCTCAGAGTTGGCGAC